GAAGAAATTCAAACGTCCAAGAGACGCATGAAAAAACATTTAACGCTATTTGTAATCGGAGGGGTCAAACTAAAGTCAGTATTGGATTCCACCGCACACCAGACTGGCGAGGATGTAAGGCGGCAGTTCCGGTCCGATGCGGAGAGAACACACATCATTACCCCCGCTTTGGACAACAGTTGGCGTCCTCCAGGGAAGTGGTGGATTCTTGCAGCCCTGGGCGCAGCAGTGGGATTCCCAGGAACACACCCCGGAGAACAAGAGAGATGCTCAAACGTCCACAGCATGCTGACAATGTTGGTCCCACACTGGACATACAGCCTGTGTCCATCACCAGTAGAGTGGACACGTGCATTCAGTGAGGGGGACGCTGCCAGCCACGCTTGGCAGAGAACTGCACCCACACATGACGGTGTGGGGCCACCGCACACAGGCTGAGCCAAAAGACCACATGCGGTGCGAATCCACTGATAGACCTCTGAAGAGGAGCCAAAGTCAATAGCATTTTTCTGGGCAAAATCAGAGAAAATTGAGGAACCAGCTGTGACAGGGGTCAGGGCAGCCGTTATCTCCAGGAAGGAAGGAACCTTCCAGAGACCCAGAAACCAGCAGTATTGTTTCTCAGCTGAAGAGATGGTTATGCCAGTGTTTGAGTCACAATGACATGTTCATCTTTTGTGCACTTTTCTGAAAGAATGTTAAAGGACCATGAAAATATATAAAGATTGAAGCAGAGCCAATAGGGCTGAAACTCCATCTGACCACTTCTGTGGCAGAGCCTCCAAGTGGACTCTCAACACTTGTTTTTTATCCAAGTACATTTTTCAAAACGTTAGAAAGCACAGCTGTCAGACAGACAGAGAGTAAGCACGTGCCAAGGCTTTACCGCCCTCGTCACCCGGGCACCGACCGCGTGGCAAAGGCCGTTCAAGAGAGAACACGCGCCCGGGGAGTTCTGGCCAGCGGAGGGGAGGCTGGTGGACGGAGCTGCTGAGGCGCGGGTTCTGCGGGGTCAGGGCCGAGCCCGGGAGGGGGCTGATGGCAGCTGCAGGGCTTGGCGGTGTGGCGATCGGGTCCCCTCCCAGGCAGGTGTGGCTGTCCTGACCGAAAGGGGGGCGACCCACGGGAGGCCAGGAGGCACTGCCATCAGGGTCCAGCTATGACTCCGCTGGCCCCGCAGCTCTGCCTTGGAGTCCTTCCTCTGCCCGTGGTGCTCCACGCACACCTTCACAGCGACTGCTGAGCTGGGCTGACCTTGCAGGTTTGCCTGGCACCTCTGCCTTCTGTCCCTGGAGACTTTTTTAAAAGAAGATGTATATGGTGTTCGATGGATTGACTGATTGGAGGATAGTTGATAAAAATCTGCAACGCTTCACGATTTGCGTGTCATCCTGGTACAGAGTTCACGCTGATCTTCCCCTGTCGCTCCAATTTCAGAACAGGGAAGTGAGCACATGGAGGACCTTGTTCGAGACCCATTCGGCTCAGTGTGCACAGGCTGGGGTCCTTCAGGGCCTGGCCTGTGTTCACTGCCTGGAACTTTCCAGAGGCCTCTGGGATCACAGCCACACAGCCTCATCCCATCTGGAATTCTGCCTCAGTTACGGCAGTGAAGAAGGTCCCCGTGGGGGCAGACTCGGGCTGGCCCCAGCAGCAGAGTCTCAGTCTGCGGAAGGCTAGTCCGGGCCCCTTCGGCCTTGTGGCTCTGCCTTCCCGGGACTGTGGCCCTCATCCACGTCTGTGACCTTGGAGGTGGCTAACTATCAAGTCCACACTGCAGCCTGAGTCAGGGAAGGGGGAGGGGGAGGACAGTAGGCACCCGTCCCTTTCCTGTCCCTCCCGTCCCTCCTGAAGCTTTATTGAGATAGAATTCACACTCCACATCATTTGCCCACGGTGAGGGTAGAATTCAGGGTTTGGTTACAAAGGTCGCACCCTTGAAAAGGATGCTAAATTTAGCTTTGACAGGTGTCTCCCCCAAATTCAACAGTGTCTTCCAGCAAGTCAGGGGCAGCAGAACCTCAGAAGATGACTTTGTTTGGAAACAAGAGTCTTTGCAGATGTCCTAGTGAAAAGGAGGTCACACGGCATGAGTGTGGCCCTAAATCCGATGGCTGGTGTCCTGGAAAGATGGAGAGGAACACAGACCCGTGACGACAGAGGCAGAGGTGGAGTGGTGCAGCCACAGGCCGAGGGACCTAGGGCCCGGAGGCCTGGCATGGGGTGTGGGAAGGTCAAGTCTGAGGTCCTCGAAGCCCTGACTCCCTTGATGCCCGAGGTGGCACCGCCCACCGCCCTTGCTTCTGCTGAAGGAGAGCAGCTCCCGCCCCGCGAGACCGAGCAGCAGCCAGACGCCTGAATCCGCTCCTCACAGGCTGACACTTGCTCCCTCCCGACGTGCCTCCGCCACCTCTGGTCACAGCCAGGTCCCGGCCCAGCAAGGGGGGGAGACACAGGCCTGCGCTGGAAGGAACGTCCTGCACGCCCAGGACCAGCTCGTGTGTGCAGGTGGCCGTGGGGGGCGCCAGGTGGGCGGGGTCTCGGGGGTGGGGGTGGGGGGCACGGTGCATTAGCTGCAGTAGGAGGCTAATATGGATACAGACCACTCAGCGTGACTTAGGTCGTTGTTGAATTGTGTCCCCCAAACACCTGTCTGTGTCCTGACCCCAGCACCTGTGGATGTGGCCTTATTTGGAAATAAGATCTTTGCAGAGGGGACCGGTTAGGGGAGGCCCTCCTGGGGCCGGGCAGGCCCTGAGTCAGACACGACTGGTGTCTTTGTAAGAGCAAGACTGGAGCCACCCAAACCCAGGAGGAGGGTCACGTGGAGATGGGGGCAGAGATTGGAGAGACGCGGGAGCCGGAAGAGGCAGGAAGGGGCCTCCCCGCTAGCCTGCGGAGGGAACGCGGCCTGCGACAGCTCTGTTTCCAGCTCCTGGCCTCCAGAACTGTGAGCAAAGCTGTCTCCCGCCACAAGCCCCCGGTCTGTGGTGGTCCGTGGTGGTTTGTTATGGCAGCCCCAGGGCTCACCGCGTGTAGAGCTGCTGCTCTGGCGGGACCCCGGAGCTGCCCCAGGTCAGCAGAGGGGCTCCCCGAAGCACGGACTTGCCGCTGGCCCAGAGCAGATGGGTGGGCCCGCAGCCCGGCTCCCCGCCGTCTGCAGGTGTGCGGCTACAACCTGCCCGCGTCCTCGTCCTCCAGGGCTTACCCGCTGGTCTCAACCCTGCTGCCTTCAGGACCCCCAGGGAGCTTCACTGGCGGCAGTTGTGGGCTCACTCAGACCAACAGAATCTACCGAGTTTCAAGGCTCCTGAGGCCTGTGACACAGCGGGGCCAGACCTGCAGAGCCCTGCTGAAGTGGCACCTCCGTCCCCGTCTCCCACACGCAGCCGCAGCCTCTCTACCCAGGGAGGTGGCCAGACCGCACAGCCCCCAAGCCCTGTTCCCCTTCAATCTCTGCTGCTACTGGTCCCCTCGGGGCTACACCGCCCAGGGCTGCACAGCTGGCCGCAGGCAAGGTCCCCGAGTGCCCTGGCCGAGCCCCTGGTCTGTCTGCCCTGGAAAAGCCCGTCCTGCCCGCGCCCCAGAAACCCTCTTGGCACACCTCCAGCCCCCAGAAGCCGCCACCTCCGCGGCCAGCTGGGCACTGGTCTGGGTAATTCCCTCTCCTTCTCAGAGAGCTCAGGGACACATGCAGACCCGGGGCCTGGGGGCCAGTGGGCAGGCAGCCCTTCAAATGTGTGATCCTTGGCCATTCAACCCTTAAAGGCCGCAAAGGTGAGCGCTGCTGCGGGTAAGAGCGCAGAGGAGGAAGAGCAGAGGGGCTGAGGCACCGCGCCGTCCTGCTGAGACGCGCTCCGCCGAGGCCAAGTGCACACAGCGGGCACGCCACCACTGCAAAGAGCACAGCCCCTGGCATTGAGGGCCTTCACGACGTTGTGCACCGCCACCCGTGGTTTCAAAAAATGCACCATCACCTGAGGAAACACCTGCACCCACTGAGCGGTCACTGTCCCTGTTGGTGAGATCTGCCCTCCGTCCCCGCTCCCCGCCAGCGGCTGCACCCGAGGGGCACCTCCCTGCCACCGGCACTGGGAGCTCCCGGAGGGAAGTCTATCGGGTCAGCCTCTCAGTGCGAAATCGCTCGCTTGCTCTTGCTTTCCAAGACCAAGAGCACATTAAGGACGTTTTCTATTCTGTTTTTAAGGTTTCTATTTTTTGGAAGTTTTCTATTCTTACAGTTCATGGAAAGAGAACAGGACACACACTGCTCATGACCCAGCGTCTTCTTACTCGCTTTCAAAGGTCTGTTTGCTGCCCGCACGACCTGGACGGCCCCGCCCGGCACAAAGTCCAGTGGCACAGCGGGACTCAGGAAGGCGAGAGGCTCTGGCCGAGCGCGGGGACGGACCTACCAGGACCCTGGACCACAGAGAGACCTCGCAGTCTTCACTCTTCCCACTAGGCGCACTCCTTCTTAACCCACCTCACAGACACACGGCAAAGCCACCACCGCGCTGACTCTGCGAATGGGCAGGGACGCGCCGAGGGCAGGGACGCGCCGAGGCCAGCGAGCACGGGAACAGGCCTGCTTCGCCGACGCCCCGGCTTCTGAGCTCGGGCAGCCCGCACTGGTCAGCGCAGCGAGGACGCCTGTGTCACCTGCAGGCTTGCCTGTGCCTCTACTGGATGGAGAAATGTGTCAGTGTGTCCGACTGCGACGAGAGCGAATGTTCGAGAATCAGATTTACTCAAAGCCTGTTTATTTTATGGGGGGAAGCAGAGGCCTGGAGACAGGAGTCGCAGTGACAGCATGTGGAGCTGTGGTTAGAACTCCAGCTCCAGGGATCCCACCCGCTGTGACGTCGGGCAGCCCCCGGGGCGCAGCACCTCAGGCTGCACGGGGCCCAGCAGGGACTCCCCCAGGACAGCTCTCACCTCGGGACACTTCTATATGGTGATGATGGCTTTTGATGAATGAAAAAACCCAAACAGAGGACGCTCATAAAGACTGAAAATATATATATTTGAAGGTAACACAAGCTCTCCTTGAAAGCAATTTAGTTAAGATCATTGACTGGCAGGAAAAAGCACACGATGGAGTTAGGAACAGAGGCCCAGGGGCAGCCCGCCCCCACCCCGAGGGGCAGCGGCCCAGGCACACGCCCGCCCGCAGAGGAGAGGGCCAGCAGGTGGCAGGCTGTCAGAATCTGGGACTAGAAGTAGGCCAGCTCGTCGTGCCTGGCTTTGTTGGTCTGGTAGCTGGCCAAGGCTGGGGGCTTGTTTTCGTGTGGGAGGCTCTCAAATACTCGAAGGTGCACGAACTCCTCATCGTCAACCTGAACCTGAAGGAGAGTCGAGGGAGGCGTTAGGCGCAGCCTCAGACCCCAAGTTCCCTGCTCCACTGGACTGGGCTCGGACAAAGACCCTGGACGCCTGGAAGCCGTGCCCCTTCAGGTCCCCGGGGACGGGGCAGATGCCACCCCCACCTTCCTCCTTCCTCGCGGCCCCAGTCAGCACCCGACACCCCACAATCACCCCATCAGAACCCTGAGTCCCCCCAAAGCTCAGTCCTCTCCTTCAAGGAGGCCGGAGTGCACGCACACACTCATTAAAGGGCCATGACTCCCTGATGCTGGGGGCTGCCACAGGACCCCCCTTAGCACCCCTGCCCTGGCACCCACGAGCCCCCACCTCGGGCCAGACCCCCCTGTGAGGCTGACACCCACCTTGATGAAGAAATTCCTGCCGGCGACCACCTGGCTCTTGAACTCCACAGCCTTAAACAGGGAGAACTTCTTATTCTCCTTCTCCTCCAGCTGTGCCTTCACCTGGGGGGGCGGGAGCACAGGGAGACGTGGCGGCCTCGCTCCTGCCCGAGGGACTCACACACGAGCCGATCTCTGCCACGCGCGATGGGCTGGGTTCTAACACGCACCCTGTACGGACTTTCTATGACGCGAGTGTCACAACCGAGCAGAGACATGAGCTGCGCACTGATGACAAGGTACAGCAAACAGCGCCTCGATTCCACTGAGGTCTCAGCGGTGCTATTTCCCCACATCGCTGTCCTTCCTCTTCCCAGCACAGGAGGGTTTCACACTGTTGTCACGACACTATAGACAAGCTCATACCCTGCTTTCCTTCTTACTTAATGAGCAGCTCACTTGAAAGCTCCTATATAGTTTTTATGGGGGGAGGGGGAGGTAATTAAGTCTATTTATTTAATTTTTTTTTTAATGGAGGTACTGGGGATCGAACCCAGGACCTCCGGCAGGCTAAGCCTGTGCACCACTTGAGCTATACCCTTCCCTCCCCATATACAGGTTTTAAATTTCTCTTTTAAAATTAAAACGAGAACATTTAAAAATGTTAAACTAAATTCAATGTTAAATTTGATCTTCCATCTTCTAGGGGGCACCTTAATTCTCTTAAGCAGTCCCAGTTTCTTCTGTGACAGACAACGCAGCAGCTTTACTGATGCAGCAGGACGCATTTTTAGGTGATTTCTCTAGGACGCAGCGCCTTCAGCCACGGCTGATCCTGACCTTAAGTGTCAGACAGTGATCACACTTCTGGACCAGACCTGGTTTCCGGGGTCTTGGCCTCTCAGGAACTGAGCATCTTTCTGGAGGAAGGGGAGAGCAGGCTGGTTTTGTTTCCAGCTCAGAATCTCATCTGGTTGAAAGTGCGCTGGCTGCTGCCTGGGTTACTGCAGGCACCAGAGCTGACTGGGAGACGGGATCACAGTCACTCGCACAAGTCAGTCACTGTGGCAAAGGCTGCGTGGCCTTCCAGCGCCTCCAGGGAGGGGCGCTCCCTGGTGTCATGGTGGACAGACAGGGCAGGAGGGAGGGGCAGGCACAGGAAGGCAGGTCCCGCTGCACCTCTGCCGTCTCAGTGCGGCTGCCACAGGGATGTGTGCGTGTGCCCCCAGGCCAGGGCCCATCTGCGTCTGAATACCTCCCTGTAACGCCCTTCCTCCTGCAAGATGCCAGGCTTCCTCTGCAGGGAACTGACCCTGCAGACAGTCCACCAGACCAGGGGTGAGCGACTCCCACAAACCCGCCCGCAGTCTGGGAAGGAACTGCCTCTTTCTCTGCCCTTTTCAGGAGTGGAGGCAGGGGATCCCCTGATGTTTGCAAGGACTGGTGAGAAAACCCAAATGGAGGTGGTGGAACAGGCAACGTGGAGGCCTCGAATGTCTGGCCAGGCCGCTGCCTGCATGCAGCGCTGACACTGTCTCTGACCAGGAGAAAGATGGGCTGGGCCGCAGCCAAGGGAAGCACAGAAGGCCCAGGGTCGTTAGGAAACTGCCAGTTCCGAGCCCAGGTGGCACAGAGGGCCAGGGAAGGCACAGGACGACTCCAGGAGGTGGGGACGGAATGCACCACTTTGATGTCCTTCTGGCCAGTGGTCAGTCTCTGGCCTCTGTTCTCCTCTGCAGCCCAGGATGCTCCCGAAAGCAGTCAGTACAGAGGGCCACAGACGGTGCCCCTGCCCCTCTAGGAGACCACCCAGCACACGGGCAGCCCCCTCATTCCTGCCTCAGAGTTCCTCCCAGTAGCAACGACTCTCAAGACTTTCAAGTAATCGACACCGAATCATTCAAGAGATCTTTGAGACAGCAACTCTTCTCTCCCGAGTGAGCTTACACACCTTCCAAGCTCACGTGACAAGCGGGGAGAACCAGGAAGCAGTGGGGAGGCTGGGCCCCGTGTGGCTGTGGGGAAGGGCCAGGAACCACCTCCTGGCCTGGCTCACACTGGAGTCCCTGCAAATTCCTCATTTTCCAAGGTCTCATGAGACTGACTCACCACCACTCCTTACTGCCTGCAAACGTCAAAACCACAGGAGAGAGGGCATGGGGCTTCTCACACCCTCGGGTTTATGAAAGTTAAGTTTACGAAAATTAAAAGACAAGTTTGTCTTACTTTTCTTATCAGAGCCCAAGGCTGCTGGTGCGCTGACTTTGCTGACACACAAGGGCAGGCCCGACCCATCCCACCCACAGCAGGTCCTTGGGTGCCCATCCCACCCACGCCAGGTCCCTGGGTGCAGGTGGCTTCTTGGGAAAGCCATGCGGGGGCAGCTAGCTGCCCAGGGTCTGAAGTCGGCTCTGCCTCTGCAACCCGGCCTGGTTTCTGTTTCGATATATTTAATTTGGAGATCATTTCAAACTTACACAAAGTACTAGAATAACAGTATAAACCTGGGAAGCCTGGGTACCCTGTCCCCAGACTCACTCATGGTGACTTTTTACCCCACCCGCTGCACCGTTTGCTGACTGCCTTCCCCAACCGTCACATCGCGTCCCCTCGCCTGTGACACCCCCGAGCGCGCTTCGGCGGCGCAGAGGGGCATCGGTCCAGCGCCCCGCCCGGCCCTCGGCAGGATGCGCAGG